TTCAACAGAAGAATGATTATATAAATTGATAATCGGTTTCATGTCGATTGAACTATCGCTCGATCTTATGACAAATATTTATCAATAATAAGTTCAAATATTCTCTACATAAAAATTTCTGTGGATATAGTTTTTTTTTAATTTTCATTAATCAACATTTCATATGCTTCTTCTAACTGTCAGAAAAATAATCTCGAAAAATATTCATCTAAGTGTTCTTGATGATACGATTAAAACTAATTGAAATATAAGTATATGTATGATTCCATAAGCACCACAGGCAATCATACACTCCCTACTGTTATTATATGCAATCAAATTTTTTAATGAAAGTTTTTTTTAATTATTTTTCATTCTCGATTTTAACTTGTTCCTATGTGAAAGAAGGAGACAAGAAACATCAACATTGAATATAGCACATAGTCAAACTATGCAACATTATTCAGCGGTGACTAAATTAGTTCATTATACTTCGAAATTTACATTTAATAGTGATAAACAACCATCAAGACAATATTCATCAGTCAGAAATCAACGATTATCGTCAAGTTCTGATTCAACAGATAGGTTTGTATTTATAGAGAAACTTAATTTTCTTATTACAAGGGATGTTTCTATGCAAAAGAAATTGTTGGTGAATTATTTCATGATTTTTTAACTCTTATTGATAATATTCTTCAAGTAATCTCTAAATCAAGATATACGGACTGGTTCTGTCCAGTTTCGACCGAAACTAGAAAAATCCGAGCGCTTGGATGATATTACTTGGATCACTTTATATATTGATTTTATTATGGGAATAGTGATTATATACAGGTTGATTACGTTATTTTTAATAATTTTGTGTCGTTTGCTGGATTTATACAATACATCAAAAATTTTTTATTTCAGCACAGTTGGATAGGGCTTGAGCTCCTCTATCAAAACATATAATTTGTTTATTAGTTTCTCATGCTCTAGCCCAAAATTTCGTTAAATCTCAGACAAGTGTAAAAAAAAGTTTTTTTAAGAGTCATCATCACGATTATTTATAGTTTTATTTTCCATATATAAAAACGTAAAAAAACGATAATTACAATCGATGTTCGATATGAGAACCTCGAGCTTGATAAATCTTCAAGACTCTCCTTGGCCAGGAAGCTAATACTTTATCGATATACGTCTGACTCATCTTTCGCCACTCATATAAAATCTTCTTTTTAAGTTCCTCAATAGAATCAATACGTGTTTTATTAAGTTGTTGTTTTAAATGTCCCCAAATTGAATAATCCATTGGTGCAGCATCAAGACTAGCAGGCATCCATTCTTGTGGTGTTATATAATGAATTTTATTCTGCTCCAAAAATTTAATTGTTTCTTTTGCAGTATGACTTGGTGCTGAATCTTGATGAAAAATCCATTTTAATTTTTTTCCTTTTCGAAATAAACGTGGAACATCTTTTGTTAAAAATGGTTTTAAAACATTGTTAATGTAATAATTTGAATTAACTTTCGTACCAGGTGTAACAAAACGAAGTGTAGTTTTTCCTTGACTTGATACACCTCCCCATACCATAAAGCCTTTTGGTCGAGAAGTGTTTTGTTGAATAATCATTCGATCATAATCGGGATCAGTCTTTTTAATATAACATACTTTCCTTCTCCCACTAGTTTCATCTAAATAAAACCAGGTTTCATCGGTTGTAATGAAGTTCTTATATCGACCACGTGCTAATCGACGATAAAGTTTAAATGATCGTTGTCCACGTTTCATAACATTCGATGATGTTAACTTTTGAACTTTTTGTTTCTTTCGAAGAGTAAATCCAGAATTTTTGATAATGTTCGAGACAGTCGATTGGCTAATGTGAAGGTCTTTAGCAATAGCACGTTGAGTTGGTGGTTCTTTAACATCAATCTTTTCAATAACCTTCTTAATAATAGAAGGTGTTTGTGATGGCTTCTTTCGAAAAATTTTAATTTTTGATTCGGAATTTCTTTGACGACCGATCTTTTGTTTGACATTTGACACAGTAGGTTGAGATACATGTATACCATCACGTTTCAAAATGTTCACAATAAGAGACTGAGAATATTCCCAACGTAATAGTTGCAAAATACGCCCTTCGACAATGTCGGATATTTTATTACGTGGCATTTATTTGAAATGAATTTGATGAATTTGAACGAATTGATCTAACGAGAAAGGCTATAACTGTCATAGCGAGGAAAGAAAAAAAATCGTTCAATATATGATGCGCACGTGCGATCGGAAATTCTATTGAGTATACAACAGGCTGTCTATATATGGAAAATAAAACTATTAATAATCGTGACAACAACCTTCAAAAATTTTTCTTAGCACTCGTTTTAGACTCATCCAAATTTTGGACTAGAGCATGAGAAACTAATAAACAAATTATATGTTTTGATAGAGGAGCTCAAGCCCTATCCAACTGTGCTGAAATAAAAATTTTTTGATGTATTGTATAAATCCAGCAAACGACACAAAATTATTAAAAATAACGTAATCAACCTGTACATTCGTTAAATTAAATAGATTCTTTTAGTATATTGAATTAAGGTAGTTTTTATGTTAAGCAGTGCCCTCTATTCTTGATGTTGATGTCAAAAGTAATATGATTTTGAGGATATTGTCTTATCTATCTCAATAAAAATGGTAGTAACAATAAAATGTTGTTCTTTTAAAAGTTAAATATGTAAAAGAAATCTATTTCGGTTCTAAAAAGAAGTAAAATATTAGCAATGAGTTCTGTTGTATCATCAAAAATGATCGGTGATAATCGTTTACTGAATAGACGAAGATCAAGGTTTTATTTTTCCGGAACTTTTTATTGTTGTTTAATTGATTTCAATTTTTACTATTTAGAATAAACGACACTAAACGATTTCGTTTGACACCAATATGGTCTGAATGGAATGAAGCGGAGATAAATGCTGAATCATGGGATGCAGGAAATATAAAAAAGAAAGATCTGATTGTGGTCAGAGCTCGTTCTGATACAAAAACAAATATTCCAATGGTAAAATATTACAACAAATATTCTATTGAATGTATGTATCATTATTTAAGGGTGCACATAATTTTGAAGATCCTGAAGGTAAAGTTGAGCTTCCTCCATCACTTAAAGTAGAACACTGGAAAAGACCCATCGAGTTTTTGACAGCTGATAAAGTAAGAAAAAATAATCTATATAAAACAGTACAATTTATTGAATATATAATAGTCTCCAGTAATTGTTGATCCTGATCTTGGCACTCAAAGCTTTGATTTAGTTACACCAAATGAACATTTACATCATAGTGAAGTAAAGTTTTATAGAATTCGTTCTTTTTTCTTCAATTCAATTATATTTTCTTTAATAAAGACAATGCGCAAAATTATTAGTGAACTTACAGCTCTGTGGGATATTTGTCGAAAAGAACGGAAAAATATTAATACAACTGCGCATAATATTAATGAAGTTAATATAGCTGACCGAACATGGCATCCTTGGGTTAGTTCTTATCATCATTCAATGAAGAAATCATTTCTTTTCTTTGCATTAGGAACATATATACGCATTAAATAAAGTATCTAAGCAACCATTTATTACTCCATACAATCCTTCAGGCAAATATATTGTTCGAATTTTCTTTTTGGTTTGTATGATAAGAAAAAATTTGAAGCTTAGTAATTTCTTGTCTTTGAATTTAATCATTAGGGTACTTGGCGTAAGATTATCATTGATGATACCATACCATTTGATTCTGAAAATCGATGTCTTCTACCGCAAACATCATTATCATATGAACTGTGGCCAATGCTTTTATCAAAAGCTTTATTAAAAATAATTTCTCTTGAGTAAGAAAAGAAAAATAAACATTTATTTTGTATTCATCTTTTTAAAAATTTTTTTTTTCTTTTTTTCGATAATAGTTTCAATACATTGAATGATTTTCCTGAATCTAATGAAGTCTCAGTTATTCATTCACTTACTGGTTGGATACCAGAACCTATTCCTCTCAAGTAACAAAAAAATGATCTAAAGAAAAAAAAAAGATGAATATGAAATTTTCTATTCATAGATATACTCATGCTGAACAAGTATGGGATTTTCTTCGTTATGATCGTTCTAATCAATATGTGAGTGAAAATCAGAATGGATCATCTTTTGGACCTATACCATTATTTAAATGGCCGGATGCGAAAGTTACTCTGCATGAAGAAAGAATATTAGTGGATGAAACTGTAAAATAGTTTCTTTTGTTTTAAATATTCTCTACTCATTTTTCATTTTTGAAAACAAATAAGGATTCATCAGATCATTTCGATGATAAAAAATCAGAGGATAAAAATTCAAAAAAACGAGGATCAACTTTTAGTCTGGTTATTCCGAAAGATCCGACAGTAATGAAATCAATTAATAACAAAGAAAATCGAACAAGTAAGATCTTTTAATCGTTTGAATATAATAAATCTCGTTTCAGTCA